TGTTTACAAATTTACTTATCCTGAACAGGGGTCATTTGCAGTTTCTGATCCTAGGGTTATGGGTTGAGGGAGGGAGAGAGCTTTAGAAGAGAAACAGTGTGAAGGTGTTAAGTATGTGAATAATCCATCACATGACCTAGACATAAAATCTGTTTATTCAAAGTGCTTCGATTTATGCCAAGCAGTGTTTAGTGAGCATGTATCATGTGCTAACTATTATGGGAGGTACGGGTTAGAGAAATCAGACGTTCGTAAGAACGAAAGAGCTATTGAAAGGGGTCTTAAAGAATATAACGTCCCCCACTATCCCGCCTGGAGACATAAAGATGGACGGGGCATGCAGCAGCCCGAGGAACAGGAAGGCTATTAGATGCTTCAGCAACATTTATTGAATACCGTGGAACCAGACACCTCCCTAAACACTATAGGGAAAAGATATGACTAAAAGAATCCCAGGAAACTTCCTATCTCGTTAGGGAGAGAAACTTCCAGTCTCTATGGAAGTAGATTGCCTTATAGTTCAAGCCTCATGGAGTGGCTGGTAGGTTTCAACCCCTGACCTTTCAGTTAGTAGCCCAACAGTTCATCCACCGATCCACCAGGGCTCCTCATGTAGAAACCACTAAATATAGTAATGACTATGTGTCCAAATGGCATGAGTACAGTGTAGTGAGATAATTGTGAGAATGGCATGCTAAATACTGCTTGAGCAAAGAGTTTACAAGAAGCCTCGAGAACATTTGCAAAGGCCAGGGACTAGTAAGTAGAAGCGTGCCAGGGGACATGGGAAGGGCATTTTAGGGAAAGAGAACCACATGGACAAAGGCACAGAAGTGTGAGACCATAAAGGAATGTTGGGGGGACGCTGAACAATCAGTAGCTGCCATGATTTTAAAGACAGGGCACGAGAAAGAGGGAGGGCCAGGTTATAATGAAGCATATTTTGTGAATGGAGGGATGCATTTTCCTTGCCCTGTTGTCGTATTATGATAACCTTGTTGACGGGAGTTAAAAGTTCATAGTAGGGGGTGGAATGGGGCATACTGCACCCACTTGTAATTGGGTGAAGGAAAACCCTAAAATAATGGTAAGTCCCGAGAGGCCTGCTGTATAGACTAGCTTTGTAGAATGATTTTCATGACATCAGATGACTGGGGATAGCTGTTGGAGAAGAAAGGGCAGTGGCTCTCAACTTGTGGCTCACGACCCTTTCACAGGGGTCACCCTGCAGCAAAATGACAGCAAAATGACAGTGATGAAGTAGCAATGAAAATAATTTGATGGCTGGGGGTCACCACCACATGAGGAACTGCATTAAAGGGTTGTGCATTAGGAAGGTCGAGGACCACTGCGATAGTGGCTTTCTAAAGTCAGAAGCCGGTGGTGATGCCTCCTCTCTTGGAGCTGGGGCCACACCAAATCCCCATGAGAGACAGAATGAAGGGACAGAGGGCATGGATGCACCTGAATGCACTAAGGACCACACCCTCTGCAGGTTCACCACCATGGTGGCCACAGCTGGCAACCGTAAGATTTTCATCGACTCAGTGATGGAGTATCTCCGGCTGCATGGATTTGACGGCATTGACCTTGACTTTGAGTACCCAGGGTCCCGGGGCAGCCCACCTGAGGACAAGCAACGTTTTACTCTTCTGATTGAGGTAAGGACTGACAGATGCAATCATAAAGCCCGGGCCCTCTGAGGATCCCCAACTCTTGCTTGACTTCCATTCCCAAAGGCAGAGGAAAGGCGGGGAAGGACGCCAACACACAGCACTTCGGGCTCTGTGTTCGGCACGATGCAGACGCGACTCCCTTTACCATTCCTGATATCACCTGAGGGATTTTTTTTTAACAAATGTATTTTTAATCCCTCGTTACTGATTATCTCTATTGACTGAGAAACCAACTGTGAAGTCCTGCAAGAGAAATAATTTGCCACAAGGTTTCCTGTGTGATACAAACAGTAAAGTGTTTGACTACTGACTGAAAGGTTGGGGATTTCAACCTATCCAGAGCCCCTGCAAAGAAAGGCCTGGTGATCTGCTTCTGAAAGGGCACAGCTCCAGAGCAGTTACGCCTGTCCACGTGGTGCTGCCAGGCGTCCGGATCGACTAGGTGGTAATGAACAACATTTGCCTCCAATCACAGTCAGAAAGTGGCGGAGACGGCCACAGATTCAAAATAAGGAAGCAGGGAAACAGACTCCAGACGATTTAGATTCCAGACTTCGCACGCTTTCAACACCACCCAGTAAACACTAGCAAACAAGGAAACTTTTCCCCCGGGGCAAATATTCCTGTTTCTTCACATGAAATTTGGGGTCATTTGTCAACACTGTATCTTCCCTTGGATTGACAGCAACCTTGATCATCGATGCTATTCTGCCTGCCTATGGGGAGAGTAGGGGTTGTGTGGTGGCGGTCTCGCCTCTCATCCAGGACACCGGCGTTTGATTTCCGGCACTTGTGCTGCCTCTGTGCCTCTGGTAGTGCAGGCCTGTGCTGCCGAACAGGTTGCAGCCGAGTGTTTAGACTAGGACGGTCTGCGAAGGCGGGCCTGGCAATCGACCAGTGAAAATAAGCCCATGAACACACTAAGATCTCCACGGCGTGGTCTGCCCCTCATCCTGGGGTTGGCACCAGCCCAGCAGGGTGGAGCGTCCTGGCTGAGGGGCCAACCCGATGGCAACACAACCCCCCCACCCCGCCCACCCCCCTCTCTTTTGCTACAGGAAATGTTAGCAGCCTTTGAAGCTGAGGCCCGAGCCACAGGACGTCCCCGGCTGCTGATCTCAGCAGCCGTCTCTGCAGGCAAAGGGACTATCGACGCCGGTTATGAAATCGCCAGGATCGGAGCGTGAGTCAGCCAGCAGTGCCCAGAGGTTTCTGGAACGCCTGTTATTCTAGGGCAGGATGTAGACCTCCGGGACTCTTGAGGCCCCCGTCAGACTAAATGTATGTAGCCTGGAGGTCTTGGCCCACCGTTGGCGGGACCGCCGACCCCTCTCCCCGCTCCTTGAGCTCTTGGCCGGCATCCAGTCTAGCTCTGCTTGCGATTTAGAGGGTAATGTGTTGAATGTGGTCTGAAGCTCTCCAGGGACTTGCGTGAATGCATGAGGCCCCTGCCACCGGGTAGACCCATTGGGGAGAGAAGTATTGTCACCCCCCCACCCCCATCGAAGGCATGAGCACAAGCAGAAGGGGATGAGAAGGAGAGGTGGAGGAAGTTCTTTATTCAGTGTGCATACAGTCGCTGGCAAGGTATGTGGCAAGCTGGGGTTGCTGATTTTACCTCTGTTGGGGCCTTGCCAGCGTTGTTCTGGGGGGAGGGGGGAGGGTCTTCTCCAAAGGCTTCCAGCAACAGTCAGTCCAGCGGTGTGCCGAGCTTCCTCCTGCACGAGAAGGCGGAGGAGCCTGGAGTTCTCACACAGCTTCATGTCCTAGAGCTCTAGGAAGTCTCCTCCACGTGACGGACAGCCTTGCACCCGGCATAGGGGTGCTCAGTGGCTCGCTGGAGGTTTCTGGGAGCAGTGATGTTCTT